GAGGCGATCTTGCAGAAACCTTCGTCATACTGAGATGTTCATGGAGAATCTCATGAACTTTGTCGGTGCTGACCCCCAGGGGAGTAGCAAGCTCCTGATCGGTAACTCGTCGAACTTTCCTCATAAAATTTTCCACATCGTGAATTTTTTCATCTGTGGTAGCCGTTCGAAGACTACCGCTGCGAGGATCGTTTTCTAAGGTCTGGCGACCATCCTTAAACCGCTCCAGCCATCGGTAAACGGTACTCTTCGGTTCTGCAGATTCTCCGAAGACAGCCTGCAGCCTCTGAACGATCTCAGAACCACGTGCATCTTCTCTCCACGCAAAGAAAATAGTCGCTCGCTGAGCTTTCACCGCGTCTTCCAAGACTTCGAAAAATCCAACTTTACTGAGATGAATAACTCTGCTCAGAAGATTTTTCGAGGAACAATATGAATTCAATAATAAACAAGGGAATCCAAAACCTCTGATCAGAATAGGTTAAGCTGGATTTCCTTTTGTACAATGACGGAATTCCCAGAACTTTCGGAACGTCCCTCGTATCAATCGAAAGTGGAGTTAATTATCGTAAACCTCTGCTGGAAGTCGGGTGGATATGATTATAACAGTTCGAAATCCGCATCGTCGCAGAAGAACTTACTAGGAAGAAAACACCGAAGACGAACGAAAGTAGATCCATTATGGACGCACGACTCGATTGTGCAAGACTGCGATGTCAAAAATGCATCGAGGGGAGGTATTCCTCGCCTTGCAGCATGATGCAGCTGCATGATGCAATTTTAAGAAACCTCCTGTCAAGGGGGAGCGGGTGACTCAGCCTTGGAATTCGCTCTTATCGAGGGTATTCCAGGTGTGAAAAGTTTATGAATTCAGGGTTTTCATCTTTCCTCAACGTCACGAGTGGATGAGGCGAGCTGGTTGCGACGGGCCCGAAGGAGACAAAGGCTTTGTCCCGATTGCGCCGTGAATCAATCTTCATCCAGCGACGCGACCTCGTGACTTTCTTATCTCTTGGTGCTGGAGTGGATTCTTCTGTGGAAAGCAGTGGGAAATAAAAATGAACTCACCATTTCCGTTTGCGAGATCACTGAACTTCTATAACTCTCCTTCCGCAGTGGAAAGTTGAAAAAATAATGAGGAAAAAGATTATGAGTCAGGGTAAAACCATCAACGTTAGCGCAATACCTTAGTTCGATCGCCATCACGTACGTCGTTACGAAACCAAGCATAAGTGAGCTCTCCCTCAGAAATAGTTCCTTACAGTTCGGAAGAGCTGATTCTAAAGTGACCTAGCAAATGCTTTGTCTTAGAACGATTTATTTTATGGTGTTCGAACTTAGGTAATGTCCAAACTTAAATGGTTTTATCCTGATGGATTTGCTTTGCCCGACTTTAGGGCGTCATGTACTACTTCCGCGTTGAAAAGATTATCTTATCTCACGAACATGTAAAGTTTAAAGGTATGAGCTCCAAATAACTCGAGGTGATACTGATTCGCTACGGGAAAGAAGTGACTGTCATTCGATCTCCGGTACGAAATGCCACAGAAAAGATCCTCAACGGCGAATCCCCATCCCATTCGGCTTCCTCTCGTCCTCCTTTGTTTTTCCTGCCTTCCCAACGGTTCGACTGGGCGCGACGTGTCTCAACAAGTGGAGCGGTGGAGGCTCTTGGAGAGATGATGTGTGGGCGATCCAAGCGGAAAGGTCACAATGGATTCGCATTCATGGATCAGTGTGTGGATGATCCACTTTCAAGCGGGTGAAACGAGCGCGAGCTGGAACGAGGGAGAACTTACAGTGCGAAATATCGATACGTTTTTAGAAGTTTAAGTGCATGAGTTTGTATATAGAGGTGATTTGCACATAGAGAAAGATGAAAACCTTGAATGTGCTAGTCCAACTCGATTTGGATTGTGAAGGGAGACATTTTAGGAAAGCCTCACTTTAACCAGAGATTAGGAAATTCCCCCCTCAATGCCTCCAGAGGAAAAGGGAGAACTGAGTCCAGCGTTTGACCTGCCTAATTGCTTCCTTTTTTTCTTTCAGACTGTACGTCTGCTTATGATCCTCGGAATATCAAAAACGGATAAAATGCTTTCCCTTCACGATGCCATTCCTAACCATGACATCGATTTGCCAATTGATTGGGACACGAAATGGAATGCAATATTGTCAATTGGAATGCAAAATAAAGCCGAAACGGCACGCCATCCGCTGGGCTTGTTAGACGCTATCTGGGATGGCACAGATGGCAGTGCCTCCCCACCTCCCACCCCCATCCCACCCCCACCCCCACCCCCACCCCAAGGATGAAATGCTACTCGGGTAATTTTCCATCGAGTAAGTATAAAAGGATAGTGTCTGTAGTATTCTCAAGGTTGTTCTTCGAATGGAGAGAAACAGTTCTCCATTTCGACCGGGACAGTTGACCCTGATCGAATTTTTGCCTTGGAGAATGTATCACCATTCCTGCATGTCGGAGTTGAGATTCTTTTTGTTTGAAGTCATCATGAGAAATTGCCTGTTTACCTGAAGGACGTGTTGCCTTGTGGCACAAAAAAGAAGAGAGTAGCCGGAAATGAGATATTTGTGTTTCCTTTTCAGTGTGGAATTAACGTAAAGCAGAAACGGAAACGATTCCACCTACTCTAATATCTTTCCCATGAACATCAATCCATCTCGGTGATGTAATGGCGGGATCTAGAAATTCCAGGAAAAGAATTCAAACATGGTGGCTCTCCTGAATAATAGAAAACTTTCACATTCCAGCTCTCTCGCCCGAACAGTTCTTTAGATGTATCAATAATTAAGCACTGTGGCGCTTCCGAGTTACGAAAAATTTCACATTTCAGCTATCTAGCTCGAACGACTCTTGAGATGTACTGGGCTAAGCTTACCTTCCTGAGAGAAAACTGACCATTTGTAAAAAAAAAAAAAAAAAAAAAAAAAAAAAGATTCTCTCGATAATGTACCTGCTGCGGTAGTAAGATGTGAAATGACTGCTTGCTTCTCGCCTTTGCAGTCAAGAACTAAAGAGATTTTGTGGAAGCGTAAGAAACAGAAAACTTCATGGCATGTATTATTCTCCGTTTTGACTCCTGAAAGTCAACTTTGAACTCCACAAAAATTCCTATTGGCAGGTTCCAGATCGACTCTGGAGAGCCATCATTCCTACATCTCCTTTCACGATATCATGCCAAAAAAAGGGAAAAAAGAGAAGACATTTTGGGAATGTGGGAAGTAGCACTGTGGTGGGAAAGACATTTTTGCTTTTAAAAATATTTATTTTAAATATTTAACTAGACCTTTACTACGATCCGTTTAAAATTTTGAAGTCCCGCTCACATCAGGATAAAAAAAAAGGGCCTAACTGAATTTTAAAAATTCCTTTAATAGAATTTGATGACAATTTGGCAAAGAATAGGTTTTGAATGCTGGCAACGAAACGAAAGTAAAAACAGCAAGGACACACATTTTTAATTTTGTCCATTTCCCTCATGTATTTGTCCTAAATTCGACTATTGTCGTCCTCTACGGGAGACCTTGGCGCCGAGTCTCTCTCAGTTCGCCTGGAAGCACTCGAGCGAGAATCACTTCCAAGAATTGCTTCATCACTTTCCACAAGGGATTGGAATCCCATTGTTATTTCATTTATCGCTAGTTTGGTTATTTTCCTGCTCCGGAAGCGTTTGTGAGGTTCAGAGAATGATCCCGTTTACAAGACCCAAATCAGCATCTCCTGGAGTAGAACCAATGTGTCCACACAGAGGGCTCTGCCATCAGAATCATCCTCACCCCATCGAGTCGGGATCTCAGTTGAACGATCCTTCCTTCACAATTGCCAGGAGTCTCTTGTCTCCTGTCTGGATTGTTAAACCGATTTAAACGAATGCATTCAGGAATTCGAGTGTCTTTCCCTTCGTTGCCTGTGGGAAAAGATGAGGTACCGCATGAAAGTATCGGGGACTCATGGCGAATCACTTCCTGACACCACTGAAATACAAATGCGATTTTGCAAACCGTATTTGTTCAATTAACTGAGATAGATGCCTCGCCTGCAGATAGGAAATAAGTCAGTCCCACTAACGATGAAGTGGGGCCTTCATCGCGATCATACGCTCCCTCACTCAAAGTCAACACGGGTCCAAGGTGGTATTTGTCGCAGAAGGGGTATGCGTTCGTGGTATCTACTGGTGCGGAATTTCTCGTGGCAGAAAAGAAAGTCAGTTCATCGCTTCTCATGGAGGAGGTAGGAGTTCAGATCTAGATCTATGGAGTTGTTGAAAATTTGAAGAGCTCTTCCGTTCGCCTTGCCTTTAAATGTTCCATATCTGCTCCTCTTGTTACTGAAGCTCTCTTCGTTGTTAGCTCGAGCTTCGTTAATTTGCTGGGAATGCAAAATGATGGGCCCACAGTTCACACTGTTGCCAAATATGTTAATGTGCTAGGCTCGCAAGGAAGGCCGAAATTCCAAGTTAGACGTCACTCCTCTGCATAATTCCCATTCGGCACAGCAAAGTTGTGTCAACATTGAGAAAAGGTTCAGACTTGGTTTGAAGTTGAGAATTCGACGAAGAGTTAGCATAAATGAAATGCTGGCTATTCGTAATTAACCGTATTTTCAGCATATGGCGACTATTTGTGGATTAGCGAATTCGTTCAGAGGCTATTAAGTGCAAATTAGTTTTTATCACTGTCTCGCTGTTGTTTCTACGTGGAATTGTGATTCAACGTGATTGTACTCGATAGAGTACCGTTTTTATCATGCCACTTGGGAGCCCTCCGTGGGATCATCGAATCTCATCGCTTAATCGATAGTAACACTCTTTCAGACGCTGGATAAGAGAGGAGGTACTGTGATGCCCAAACGTCGACAATTTAGCGTTGACAACGTTGAACTACGTTTCATTTCAACAGTGTATTTACATTGGGAGAACATTATTACGTAGAAAAATCAATCTTTGATCAATGTTGACGCAACGTTGCAGCGCCGAATGGGCTATTACAGCTCAGAATCACAGTACTCAAGTCGTAACGAAGGATGGCGCAGCATTTCCGCCAGGTGAGTTTGACCTGCGGCGACGAGGCCATGGCAGAATGCGTCGAAGACTTTCAGGTCCCTGCTTTGCACATAGTGGAGCAGGGCGCTTCGTCGCCTCCTCCGCACCATCTCCACGTTCAGTTCTTCCCGCTCGCTCAGCTGTAGCTTATTTTTCGAGATCATGTGGTCTTCCACTTTCGCCACGTCCATGTTTTGAAGCAGTTCCTCCCAGCGCCTGCTGATTGCGTCTCGATAGGACCAGGACGCTGTTGTCGTTCCTTCTATGTGCACGGTACTTTTCTCGTCTTTTCCTGAAAATGAAAAAAAAATTATTGTAATATTCTTCTAAGATATAACTTACACGCACGTTCATCACTTCATCTCCTCAAAGTCTAAGTACTCTCATTTCCTAACTGGCTGGGGGAGGAAGACCGTTCATATTTCAGTGAGGAATCCTGCCTGCCGAGTCCGGGATTAAAGTAGGTTCTTCTTCAAGTTAACCAGAGCTGCCACCGGATTTTCGCAGCAGATTAAATAACACGTCTAAGCTCCGAGGAAACGTTTCCGTACACATATGCTTTAATTTCGAGCAGCATGTCACGCTTACCTTGTTCTGATTGACACGGGGAGGGACACTTTGTTGCTTGTAGGAGAGGAAACTCTTCTGCCGATTCTGAGATCGGCCTAGATTCTTTCAGAGCTGCAGCAGCGGTCTCCTTGGCTTCTTCTGGAAATGTGCAACAGACAACATCACAACTTAGAAAATGCTCGTGAGATCACCAAGATGCTTGTTTGGCTGTTCCTGACAAGCTTCAGTCGATATTTGCGGAAATAGAGTTCGTGCTTTAGATCTCAAGCGCTTTTTTCGAATAGGGTAGGGAATATGCGAGGGGTGACTGAAGTCTCTGAGATTTCTGAGTCTAAGTAGGAAAATAATATGCAAGGAAGGCGGCGGTGATGTACGAGAATAATGTACCTATAGGTCTTGTGATTGCGTGGACAAAGTTTGACTGCGATTTTCACAGAATCCTCTTAATGCAGTTTAATGTAATTGGTCGTGTGTGGAAAATTTTGAGCTCCCAGCCGTCACTGAGTACCTTTCACGAAAAGAATTAAGTATTAATGATATCCGCATGGATATGCAGCAGACATATGGGAAGTGATGCACCATCATATGCGACTGTGAAAAGGTGTGTGGCCAATTTCAAAGGAGGAGGGGACAATTTGGAAGACGACCCCCGAAGTGGACATCCTGTCACGGGAAATCAATGGTAAACATCGATGCCGTGAACAATCTCGTCTTTGAGGTTTACGAATTATTGAGGTGGACTTCGGGGGTCGTCTTCTAAGTTGTCCCCTCCTCCTTTGAAATTGACCACCTACCTTTTCATAGTCGCATATGACGGTGCATCACTTCCCATATGTCTGCTGCATATCCACGCGGATATCATTAATACTTAATTCTTTTCGTGAAAGGTACTGGGTGACGGCTGGGAGCTCAAAATTTACCTTAATGGCAACACACGACCAATCACATCAAGCTGCATTAAGAGGATTCTGTGGCAATGGTGGTCAAACTTTGTCCACAATACCTATAGGTACATTAAACATCACCGGCGCCTTCCTTGCATATTCTTTTCCTACTTAAGCTCAGAACTTTTCAGTTACTCCTTGTAGTAGAATCTGCCGGATTCTGGGTGACGGTGATGGTGCTCGAGTGCTTTATCTGGTTGCAACCCCGTCTCCCCTTCCCTGTAGCATGCCCACACTCCAGCGAGTTCATTACCCGAAGACTTTCAAGAGAAACATTTACTTTGCATTTAAGACGAAAATGCAAAAGTAACTTCTCAGCATCTAACGGCGTCACTTATGAAGAAACCAGAGGAACAACATCCTGAACATCGTCCAGAGGAAGCAAAAACTCGGGGGAAAAGTGCATTGGTATGAAAAACAGCCGGCGAGAGAAGGAAAGGACGCCTCAGGCTATGATGGACTAATAATCCCCAGTGCCCAAGGTAGGCTTACCATTGGAATCCAGCGACACAGAAAGTATGATTGGATGCTCTGCTTGTTCTCTGGTCGAGAAGCATCCCGACTGCTAAAGGCAGCTGGAACAGTGTGCTAAAGCGTTAGCTCGAGTGAGGGCCACCAGCATCCATCGACAGTACCTCAGCTCGTGCTTTTATGACAAAATACCCGCGTCGAAACGGAAACTAGAAAAATTACCTCGTGGTAGCCTAAGCTCTAATTGGCTTTTTGAGGTTTAGAAAAAGTCAGCAGCGTTCGTCGTTATCGTTGCTGTGAGCGAACTGAAACGTGTCTTAGGGACAGGACACCTACTGGATGCAAAGAGCGATGTCATCCGATCATTTGTTATCGGAATCCACTTAAGAAGAAAGTGAATAGTGAAAAAATCTTCTTCCACAAGAAGTTCTCTATATGAAGTTGAAAAGAGGACCAAATGATCCAAAGGTTCCTTTCGACTCACCTTCATGGAAACGCAGAGGACTGCATTGGTCGTAGGAAGGCGGAGGGTGTAGGTGCAGTCTGGCGGCGGACGGGGACAAGGCGGACTCCATCCGCTCTAACTTCTCGCTTCTCTGCGAGGTTCGACTCCGACTCCTCCGCCCTGAAATTCCCATCATCGTTTTGTAATGTTGCATCAATACGTCGTTACTCCTGACGACGTATGGATGGCCTCAAAATTCGGATGAGCGATATTGGACGCAACGAAAATCTGATCAAAGTGATTTTTTTTTTCACTTACAGAGCCAGACTGCGATGAGAAGGCAACAGACGACGACGATCGGGACGATTATCTTCAAGACGTTCATCCCTAAGCATAACATTCCGGTTTCTTCAGAGCCCAAATCGCTGGGATGAGTGGGATCCGACTGATCCAGATGGTCTGAATCCAGATCGATTTGAGATTCTTGGATACGTAGACACACCTCCGAGTGCCTCCCACCCGACCAATCCTCCTCTAAAAATCTTATTTTTTGGGGGAAAAAAAGGTTCTAAATTGAGGTACATTGATGGTACGAGATGCACCAAACCGCGAAACCCTCACCCGTCCAAGCAGGATCCGCATTCCAGATGCGAAGTCGGACAGGGATATCCTCCAGCTTTCCTGTTGAAAAGCCTCTCGCAGAAATCCTCAGCATTCTCACATAACCTTCTTCCCTCCGTCATCCCCACCTACGGACACCAACGAAACGCCGTGGATCGCAAAGGCACTGACGGCAAATGCTCCCCCGCGACGTGTAGAAACGGACTGGTAATGGGATAGCGTTCCTTGCCTCTAGGTCTCATCATCTTTGTGTAAACACGAGAGATGATTCTTGGAAAAATCGCAGTGCAAGGAATCTGACTAGGTTCTAAGAAGTATGAAGAGTCCGGATTTTCTTGAAAATATTCTTAGGCGGTGACGAAATGCAGACGACACCGAATTGACATTAAATCAACATTGAAACGATGTTGACATCGTGTCATATGTTACCCGTGAAGATAATGCGGGATATTTTCATGCCGTGGACAAACAAATTAAATGATGTCACCATGCAATAAATTTGGTCACGTGAGGAGGACCCTAAAGATAAAAAAAATATCGATGGGAAAAATGATTAGCAAAAAAAAACTTGCTTAGCTTAGCAGTAAAAAGCAGTCACCGATTCGACTCGAAAAAAAAATTATTGACTTAACATCCTAATGGTTGCTCTTTGTTGAGTTTACGTAATGACTCTATGAAGAAAACGTTGAACGTTCCAAGTTTTTTTTAAGTGAGTGTAGACGAAATTAGAACGTAATCATTGCTGTGAAATATCGATCGTAAGTGGAATTATTTCCCGAAAATCCCTTCTGGAAGTGAGATGGATACGATTTCAGCAGTTCGAAATTCCGCATCGTTCGCAGAAAAACTTACGAGGAATAAAGCACTGATGACGAACGAAAGATCCATGATGCACGACTCGAATCTGCGCGACTGCGAATGGTGGATGGAACAGGAATGACTCGAGGGGGAAGCGTTCCAGGGAGCTGCATGATTTGCAGCATTACGATGCCTTGCAGCATGGTGCCGAGGCATGATGCAATTAGGAGAAAACTCTTATCTTAAGGGTATTCCGTAGTGCGAGGAGTAGATGGCTTCGGGCATTTCCAACAAGAAATCACAAGTGGATGAGATGTTCAGCAGGTGGAGACGGCCCGAAGGAGACGAAGACTTTGTCGCCTTTGCGTAATGAATCAGTCGTGATCCAGCGATGTGACCTCGTGACTTTCTTATCTCGTGCTGGAATGTTCTCTTCTTGTTAAGTGAAGTGGGAATTGAAAATGAACTCATCGTTCCGTTCGTGACGAGATCACTGAACTTCCAGAATTCTCCTCCCGCAGTGGAGAGTAGAAACAATGAGAACAAAAATAATAGGGAAAAAATTAATAGATGTTTTGCCCTCTGTCCGAATTCAGGGCGCCACGCGCTACTTCCGCGTTGAAAAGGGACCCTTATCTCAAAAACGCGATAACGCGTGGAGGAATGAGCTAGAAATAAAATCCGAGGCGATGCTGATACCTTACAGGAGAGAAGTGCCTGTCATCGTACAAAGTATATTCGATCCCCGGTACACTCAGAAAAATCGGTAAATCGAGATGAAATACTTCTCTCAATTTTCGCATTTAGATTTATTTTTCTCAAGAGAAAAAGACATCATCTGGATTTTCGATTTATATCTTTCGCTTCCCGACCATGCAGGGTCGCCTGAAAAGCGTTCGAAAAACCAAAATGCGT